ATAATGACACAGCAAAAAATATTAAAGACTTGAACTGCGAGATGAACCCGAATTTTAGTGACAGCCTTTAGCAAATCGAAAAGGCTGCGTTTTTTTTTTTGTTATTTCTTTTTTTAAGCACCATAATCTTCTCCACAAACAAAATCTCCTGTTTTCTTCTGTACAAAAGCAGCTCACCCAGTAGTTTAAATCTGTACAAATGTGATTCTTCTATTCGTTTGGTCAGATTTCAGCCTTTTTGTCAAGTCTTTTGTATGTTTTTAAAATCTGAACTTTGAACAGAATCACATTATTTAAACACAATTAAATATTTTCTCCCAAATTGATAATTAAGACCTAATTAAGACCTATTTTAAAGCGGCATTACTTAATAAACGAGTATTTGTGATGGGGTTTTGGGAGAGCTTTGGCGACATCTAGTGACCAAAATGAAAACTGTAGTTCCAGGAAAAAAACAAACAAAACAAACAAACAAAAAAAAAAACACGTGAATTTTGTTTCTATAAGTTTTTACAAATCAGAAAGTATCTTACGAAACATAAGGCACAGAGGTATATTTGTAATGAACCTAATTATCTAGAACAGGGGTGTCAAACTAATTTTGGTCCGGGGGCCGTATCCAACCTACTTTGATTCCAAAATAAAAATAAATTCAAATATTTGTGCAGAGAAACACAAATCTGTTACAGAAATCTTTTTTAATTGATGAACTCTTTCTTTTACAAAATATTATATTATTATGAACAACCTGAAACTTTAAGAAAAAATACAATTTCAACACAAAGTTTTAATATGAACTTGTATGTAAATAGGAATAAGTAAATTTTTGTTGTAAAATCCTGCACTCGGCTCCACTTTTCTCATGTTGGACATTTTTCTGATGAGGGTGTCACGGTCAACAGTCAAAACGATCGTCCTTTAAGAGCGTTTGGAAAGAGACAAGTCTTCATTTGTGCTGCTCTGGTGGGAGGGGCCACGTACAGAGACGCTGGAGACGCTGCTGTGATAAACACCACAGAAAATTAACAAGATTTTAATAGAAAATATAATTACAATATTTTAGTAGAAAATCAGCCGAGGGCCAGATTAAAGGTCTTGGAGGGCCGGATCTGGCCCCTGGGCCGCATGTTTGACACCTGTGATCTAGAAGAATTATTAATGACAACACTTGAATTTTGGGTAGTGTCGTCTTATTTTTGTCAGGAAATTTTACCAAAAAGAACAAAATCCTGAAAACAAATTTGAAAATGATTTGTGCGATCAGGACTATCAATATATATATGTACATCATGTTTATAAAGTATATTTTGAATGCAGGTAGAACCCTCCTTGATTCTGACCGTCGTCTGACTGCAGGTCCCACAGCTTCAGGGTCTTGTCCCACGATGCACGGCACAGGTGGAGAGCGTTTGAGGTGAAGAAGCAGTCCGAGATGGCGTTGGAGTGGTTACTGATGAAGGAAGAACAAACCGTATGAAACAACGATTTTCGGACTTTTTCGGTCGTGCTTTTTTTCATGGTTTGGATGTTTCCTGCGACTTATGCTCTGGTGCGACTTCTATATTAAAATTTTCAGACTGACAGCCACAAGAGGCTCTAGTCTTGTGTGTCAGTATCTAGTACTACTAGGGCTGGTATCATTAAGTAGTTGCCGATACGATACATTCCTCGATACACAGGCCACGATACGATACATATCTCGATACAGTGCACTTTCGATTCGATATGATATATTTCAAATCGATTCGATACGGTTCAATAAAAAATAAAGGCTAAATCGTGGCTCTGATACTAAAAGTCTTTGTTAAATCACTTCTTGTGAAAAGTTCATATGAAACACAAACATTTTAATCATCAAAACAGTAAAAATGTCAAATGTGTCGCATAAATGAGTTTCCTTTCACTCCACAAGCAACAAAACTGTAGCTGTAACAGAATAATTTAGTAAAACACACCTAAAAATACTCTTGGTGATATATTGATACGGCAGCCCACGATATCGATACCGTATCATGACATTAAACGATACGATATATCGATATTCTGATATTTTTGCACACCCCTAAGTACTACTATTATTCCTGTACCACTGTCACTTCACTCTACTGCGCATGTCTCCTGTAGAAAAAGCTGCTGTCTCACTGCAAATAGTGAAATATTCAGCTGAAAACAGTAATCGAGCAGCAGAAAGAAAGTTTGGAGTGAGAGAGAAACTTGTGAGTGACTGACGGAAAGCGAGGATGAAGAACACAACTTCACGGTAACCGGGAGGATGCACCATGAAACTTTCCTGAAGTCACTGGATGATGGACAAAGTCTGGACTTCAGTGACACTGAAACCATCCTGTCGGGATTCAGAAAGACCTGAATAATTCTAACTGGAACTGATGCTGAGTCTGACGACAGCGACACAGAAGAGGAAGCGGCGCAACGTTTACCTCATGGATCTATGGCAGGAGTGTCAAACTCATTTTGGTCCGGGGGTCGTATCCAACCGACTTTGATCCCAAAGGGGCCGGATCAGAAAACTCATGTCATATAAACCCCAAAAATAACAATAAGTTCAAATATTTGTGCAGAGAAACGCAAATCTATTACAGAAATCTTTTTTAATTGATGAACTCTTTCTTTTACAATATATTATAATATTATGAACAACCTGAAACTTGAAACCTGAAAAATGTAATTTCAACACAATGTTTTAACATTAACTTGAATGCAAATAGGGATAAGTCAATTTTTCTTGTAAAATCCTGCACTCGGCTCCACTTTTCTCATTTTTGACATTTTTCTGATGAGGGTGTCACGGTCAAAAACGAGCGTTTGGAAAGAGACAAGTCTTCATTTGTGCTGCTCTGGTGGGAGGGGCCACGTACAGAGACGCTGGAAAATTAACAAAGAAAATTAACAAGATTTTAATAGAAAATATAATTCAAATATTTTAGTAGAAAATCAGCCGAGGGCCAGATTAAAGGTCTTGGAGGGCCGGATCTGGCCCCCGGGCCGTATGTTTGACACCTGTGATCTATGGTTTATCTCCAGAGGTTGTGCAGAAGTGACACCGAGGACGAAGAAATAAATGTATTTAGTGGTTTTGAGTGAGATTGTGAGTTTGGTATAATTATCTGAAGAACTGTTAATGTTACATTAATATTAACACATATTCAGTCTGTTGTTTTTACTAGAACTTGCCTTTCAAGATGAAATGTCAGTTGCTGGTCTCTGATTTTATCAAATACATTTCCGCTAAACGTGTGACTCGTGTTTTTTTCCTCTTCATTACATATTTTTTGGCTGGTGTGACTTATACTCCAGAACGGTCACAAAAATGTATTTAAAAATAACTACATAATGCTCCGACAATCCATCAAGCGGTGTGGCTTCGTAGTTTCCCAAAGTCGTACTAAAACATTTTGACAGATTTTTTTTTCGCACTACGTATCACATTTAATCAGCTCCCTGATTTTATGTGATACGGAAAACTCACATGTATGAGTAGATGATGTATAAACTGGGTTAACATGGATTTTCATGTATTTTTTACCCTTTAAAAAACAGATGCTTGAAGACTTTGTGTCAGTTGTATCATAACAGACAAAATATGTAAGATTTGTAGAAATGTTTTGCTTCATATTTAAAGAATTTACTGACAAAACACTTTTTTTTTTTTTAGATTTTATTTGTGAAATTATTATATTTTTCATTAACACATGAACAAACATCTTTTCTTTCACCCACAACAGTCGGAGTCAGACATTTCACCCACTCACGACCTTCAGTTATGAGCTATGACGAGTTATTTCTGCTAAAGTTAAAGCTGCACTGTGTAACTTTTCTGGTGGGAGGGTCCGTCAAATGCTTTTTCCCCATGGAGATTTTATTGTTTTGCCTGGAATGTTCCACAGTGTGGCTTTAAACCAGACCAAGTTACAGGTCAGATCTGTTTTTCGACGTATTTTTGAGCGATAAAACCACCTGTCATTAAATAAACGAGCTGTTTAATGCCACACTGCGGAACTTTCCAGGCACAGCAATGACATATCCACAGAAAAAAAGCAGCTGACGGATCACCAAACCCAAAAGCTACACACTGCAGCTTTAAAATAAATATAAAACAAGCTAAATTACATTAACTTTCAGCATTTTCAACCATTTTTTAAACCAAGAATCCTTAAGAAGAAGTGCTTGTGAATGATATTGTCCCCTAAACCAGTCCGTTCTCCATTTCTCATTTGCAGAGATAGAATGTATTTATTATTTTGGAGTTAGAGAAGAGAAGGTGGTGTAGCTCTGTTAAAGTGAATTTACGGCCACTTTTAATTTCTCTTTCCTCGATTCCTTCTCCTCGATTCTGCGGGAAATGGGTGAGGAAATCCAGAGAACAGAGGATCGAGGAGAAGGAAGCGAGGAGAGAGAGAGAGAATTGAGACGCAGCCCAAGTTGTATTTCTTGTATTTTTACTTCCTTTTTCCTCCTCCTCCGTTCGCCAGAATCATCACGAGCCTCATGAAGATGTTCAGAGTGTCCATGTAGATCCCCATACACCTGCCCAACACAAAAACATAAAAACCGTGATGAAGAATCCTTAAAATGGGACATAATGACAAATATATAAAAGGCAAAACTTGTAATATTATAATTGAATCTGACTCAACATCGGCTCATCTGTCCTTTGTCGTTTTAAAGTCAAAGTATGGGACGTCTTAGCCAAAATATACAGTAAAAATAAGTTGTTTTTATTGCAATGTAGAAAAACGTGTGTCCTCTCTCCATAAACCTGACTCCTGCTTGTTTCCATGGAGACGGAGATATACCTGCTGCTGCTGATACCTGATCTGACTTGAACTGCACTGTCCTTTACACTGGTGTTTTTAGCATAATTTATATATCTGTGGTTACTGTTGTGGTCACAGATGATGTTATTTGTTGTGTCTGTGCACGTAAATGTCCTGTCTTGTACTTTAATGTTTGTCCTGTCTTGTCTATGCATGCGACAAGGAGAAACGTAATTTCGATTCCTTTGTATGTCCAGTACATGTGAAGAAATTGACAATAAAGCGAACTGCGAACTTTGAACCGTATGGCATAAAACCTCTAGCCAGGTTGGCACCACCTAGTGCCTCCGCTCAGTTTCATTTCTGTCCAGCGACTCGGTCAGGAATCATAAAACAACAGACTGTTTGCAAGAACCCTGGAAATGCGAGTTCGGGCACCAGCCAATCAGCAAAGATCCATATACATTCTGTGTTGGCAACGATTCCTGAGATCGAGGATTTAAAGCCGGAACAAAGAGAATGTTTGGTGACTTTTATCAAGAGGAAAGACGTTATTGTCCTTCTTCCTACGGGATTTGGGGAAAGCTTCATATACCAGTTAGCCCTGTTAGCGGCGCATTACAAACGTCACGACTAGGGATGGGCATGATTAATCGATCGATAATTGATCATTAAGAATTTCATCGATTACGTTTATTTTAATCAACAAACCGAATGTATGTTGCTGTGTGTGTCGTGACCAAACAGGTGTGTACATGTGTCTCTGCATCAGAAGGAGCGAGACACAAACAGTGGGTCAGTCTGTAACGAACCGAAGCACAAATGTGGATTTAACGATGATTTGTACAAGAAATTCCACACTTTCCGTTGCGTTGGGACAAGTGTGAGTCCATGTGCACAGTGTATAAAGCAGCACATATGTTTCTGTGTCCAGTGGGAAAAAGTTTTTACCAGGTGAGAGTCGCTCAATGTGGATGACGAGGCCCCGCCCCCCTCCCCCCGTACGCTGTCCTGGTTTTGACAAAAACGCAAATCTGGTCACACTGACCTGTATTCACCTGAGTCATGTCTTTTAATCCAACAGAAAGTTGAACCACATCAGCGACACAAGAGCTGGAGTTTTATCTTCACTTAGTTTATGTAAATTAGTGATGTGGTTTTAAGTTTTGTTTCTGTGAGATTTGAACAAAACTGAATTAAACACATTATAATGTCAAACAGCTGATGTGGCTCTAGAGTCGTTACGGTTTATATGTCGTAAAGTTGAATTTATTTATGCAGATTAGTGCAGATAGTAATAATAATGATGATCATTTTAATATAAAAACGTTAATGATTAATCGATAATCGATCGTTAATTCTTCTGACGATCGATTAAGAAAATTTCATCGAATGCCCATCCCTAGTCACGACCAAATAGCTTTGCACGTGTTTCGTGTTGTGTTTTTTCCGGAAGCTACAATCGTCACTACTTCGATTAACTTCGGAAAAAATCGTCGAAAACATATCCTTGAATCCTATTGGTCAGTCTAGTGTGGGTTGTAGTGGCCCCGACCGATCACAGTCTCTGTTTAAATGTGAAAAACCGAGCCATTTCTAAAGGTCGTCAAATCACGTCTTTAGTGAAACAGCGGAGGAGTCAAAAGTCGTCATTAAGGAAACAGGGGGGTCGTCAAATGTCGTCTTCATGGGGGAAAGAGTTAAGTCGTGTTATAATGTTGTTACCTCCTCAAAAACAGACCTGGAGTTGTGTTTTGTTTCATTCACACGTCTGAGTAACACTTTATGCCTCCATCTCCAAAACTCAAAATGTTCTGCTCTACCTTGTGATGTTATGAAGAGGTAGTTTTAACAGCTACTTTTTTACTTTTTGTTCTGCAGATATCCAGAGCTGAAATGATCCAAATGATTCTAGTGAAGATGTGGGAAGTTTAAAGATGGAACAGTGTTTTCTGTTTGAGAGAAGAACGCCGCCTAAATGTGTTGTGTGTTAAACATGTGTGAATGAAAAAAAAAAACAAAAAAACACAACTCCAGGTCTGTTTGTGACGAGTAAAAACATCATCATAACATAGATCAGAAAATAGCGGAACACCGGCTCTTTAACTCGAAGTAAAACAAAGATAAAAACTGTACGTACGCGTTGATGGGGTCGTACTTCTGGACTCCGTAGTAGTGCGGCGGGGGGTGTGTCTCTGCTCTCTTTATCACCTTCTGAGTGTCGTACAACAGGAACAGACTGAAGAGCACCAGGCCCCCGTACACGGCCACAGAGTACAGCCCCGCGCCCAGGGCAGAGGTGGGGGGCAGGAACATCGAGCCTGGAGGAGGAGGAGGAGGAACAACAAAACTCAAATACACTTACATATTAGGTTTATTGGTAAAACGTACAAACTAGCAGCTGTTTACAAAAAATAAACCAAACAAGAACAATTTAACTCTTTCCCCCCTGGACGCCGACTAGGAACAACCCAGACATGTGTTACTAGTTCTACCCATAGAGCATAACTGCATAAAAGAAAACAGACTTCCACGATATAAATTAATTTTACACTCATGAACTTAATTGAAACACAGACATATTTGTATCTCTGGAAATTTTCGACTCTGAACTCTTCATTTATGGATGTTTAAATGTGATTCAACTCATTTACAGGTTTATAACAGCTCAATGAAAATGAGAGTTTACCTGGTCAGGTGCAAAATCGAAAACAAAAAAACTACATTCAGCATCTGATATCTGCATGTTCTGAGTACTGTATTCATAAAAAAAATTAAAAATATACTTTGTCAAAGTATTTAAACAGATTTCATATCACCAGATACAGTACAGCCAAGTGTGCACCTGTTTTTACCTGTTGTTCACCTGTGTGCACCAATTCGTTTTTTCCATTAAACTTATTCAACTCATTTAACTTATTATAATATAATAATATAATAATAAAACTCTTCCCCGTCAGTGTGTCCAGTATTTGTCATCTTGTTTACTTTCTCATGTGCAGAGCTCCAGCATAAGTGTTTGTTTCTGTAGCGATTCTGTCAATACATCACATCTTGGAAAAAAAGACAGAAATATTTTAAAGGACTCGCCTGAGAAACATCCAGATTTCAGGGCAATTTTGGTTCATAATCGAGTATAAAGCTCAGATAGTTTGTTTGGATATCGCAGGACTCCACACAGACGCATCAGCGGCATTCTCACCTTCGTAAGATTCAATCTCTGTAAGTCCGTCGCTATCGCCGTTTTCCACTTTATAATCAACTTCATCATCACTTTCCATTGCACGTGTTTCGTGTTGTGTTTTTTCCGGAAGCTACCATTCGTCACTACTTCGATTAACTTCGGAAAAAAATCGTCGAAAACATATCCTTGAATCCTATTGGTCAGTCTAGTGTGGGTTGTAGTGGCCCCGACCTGTCGCAGTCTCTGTTTAAATGTGAAAACCCGAGTCGTTTCTAAAGGTCGTCAAATCACGTCTTTAGTGTCAAAAGTCGTCATTAAGGGTACGGGGGGTCGTCAAATGTCGTCTTCATGGGGGAAAGAGTTAAATAGCTCAACACAACTAATATTACAAGTGATTTCTTCAAATTCAACACAAAATGCTCCTTTTATAAACTACTGCGGTCTCAAAATTATTCAACCCCTTTATGACAAGCATCTTTAGTACTTAGTAGAGCGCTCTTTTGCTGTTATGACCTGCTAAAACAAGAAAAGCATTTAAAAAGGCCTGCATAATAAGACTAACAGGTCTGTGTTTGTACTAAAGTTCTGAGTTTTTACCGATGGAAGAAGCGAAGACGACTCCGAACCCGACCGCCAGAGGCCCTCCCATGTACAGGAACTTCTCGCTGGGCGCACACATGGCGACGGTGGAGAGTCCGCCCACGATGCCCGCCGTGTACCAGGCGGCACGCATCATCAGGGGACCGCCCAGGAGAGTCAGAGGAGCGATCACTGCCCCCATCACGCCTGGAGGAGAAACAACAACACCACTGTGGTCAACATCTATTAACATATTAAACAGTCTGAGAATGTTGGTGAATGTGTGACCAAGGACAGTTCCATGGTTGCATTTGTAAGTTAAATTACTCTGAGTTAACAAATCACAAAGGCCTTAATTAGAGAAATGATTAAAAAGGAAACACTGGTACAATAATAATAAGCACATGAGCAGCTTGGACAAGACTTTTAAAAGGGTTTGGCTGCCATCTGGTGGTGAAATAGTGTAACTACACCAGACATGTCAGCCAAATATTGCCCACGAAATCAAATCAAATCTGTATTAGAGCTGGTCCTCCGGCTACAGATCAACTATAGAGACATTATTTATTTTAAATTGTGTTAATATTTTATATTCTGCTTGTTCTGTATTCAATGTTTAAGCAAAACTATTAGTAAACTTTTATTTTAATAAGATTACATATCTCGAAAGAAGAGAAAACATGCAGGTGTTGTTGAAAATTTTCAATAAATATTTAGTTTGGCCCACGACTTAGTCCCAGTTTTTAACTTTGGGCCTCTGTGATTTTGAGTTTGACTCCTGAACTATACAAATAAGAATCCTAAGCAAGAGATACTGTGTCAACTGACTGATAAATTATAAACTTATCACTTCAATTCCATTGTGGTCAAAATGTAAAAAGTTCAATAAACATTGTCTCACTCGCACACAGACAGCTGCACTTTTAGCAGCAGGTTTAATTGACAGTTATCAGACCAGTTGTGTAAGGAGGGATAAGCACCTCAACAACAAGCTCAGTCCTGACCCACAAAGATTCTAAAAATGGAGCTCGGTTGCAAATGAGCTGCTATAACTGCTAGAATCGATTCATCTTGCTTGAGCCGAACGCTACAGGTGACGCCACTCTCCCTCAGTCCACTTCTACACACAGTCTGTGGACAGAAGACAGTGTTGTGGTTCTTACCTGCGTGGAGCATCCAGGCCAAGTGTTTGGGCATCGGGCTGTGCTCATAAGAAATGGACCTCACCAACATCCCGGCTCCAATCATGGCCGCAAAGGTCGCCCCGATCGCCTGAAAGGACACAAGATTTACAGTTAACAAACTAATATCTAACCATAAAGGATAAAATAAGTTAAACAAAAATGTGTGTCTCGTACCAGCCAGGAGCCCCTCATCATGAGGCCGAGCAGAGCGGGCGTCCTGCTCACAGCCACAGCAGACAGAGCCGTCAGACCCACACTCCCGGCAAAATACATGTACGTGGAGTGGATCCGGTCCTTCACGTACTGAGGCCAGATCCTGAGGAAAACAGGAGGAGGAAAACGTTGTGGTTAAAACAATTCTTATAAAACATGCCTTAGGAGCGTGAATGAAAATGGGTCTAAAGTGTAGTTTTGTGGCAGTGATACATGGTTATAAAGTAGAGGAAACGATTCAAACTTACACAGCTTTCTCGATGGCCCCGATCTCGTTGGACATTCCCAGTCCATAATAACACAGAGCTCCCAAACCCACTGCAGCTCCTCCGGCCAGGATCAGCCTCCCTGTGCTGTCGACTGGACAGGAAACAGACTTTTCAGAGAAACACAAACGTAACATACAAAATCATGTCTACAAAACATAACCCTGTCACATCCTGTTTTAATCTTCACTGTCTTAAGAAATAAATCTGACTGCACTATGGATAGACGTGTGAGATTATCTGTGATGTGAGTGAGGAGAGCGTGTCGTTACTTTTGATGGCGGTCTCTGAAACAGGCCCAAACGCCGCCTCTTTGAGCGTCTCTCTGGCCGATCGACCTTTCCTGAAACCAAACCTTGACTTGGTCGACAAACCCTGAAACACAAGAAGAAAAAAAAAAAAAACAGTTTAACTCAAACAGCTCCACCACCACAGGACGCCACACCACGAGGAATCTGTCCTTTGATTTGACCTTCACAGCACAAACTGGGACCCTGGTGCGGAGACAGAAACTTGTGTGTTTTTCTTGAGAGATGAACATGTTTTTTAATGTGACTCTTTGCGATTTTAATGTTTTGTACCGACTGTGATTACTCGTTGGCCAGACCTGTCTTGAAAAAGAAACTAATCTAAATGGGATTTCCTGGTTAAATAAAAAAATAAAACAGTGTAAAGCAGAGCAAGAGTAAAGAGCAGACTGTTATATGCATGTGTGTATGTAGCTGACGATTTAATAACTAACAGAGATTCGATGATAATTCGACAAAAGAATATTTGTTCAGAAAACTAACAAAAGCGTCTGCACTTTAAAGTCATTAATGTTAAAAATGAAAATGTTTCCCAGCTGTTCACCTGTTGTTGTCGGAGCAGGGGGGCAGCGGGCTTCAGACAGGAAGTCCTGAGCGCGGGAAAACTCTGAGTGAAAACGGGACGCAGCCCAGAGAGAGGAACGGCCCGGAGGCTCGCCAGCCTCGCCACCAACATGATCTGACTGGGTTTAAGGTTCACCTGACAGAGAGAAAACGTCATTATCAAAATGTCCTGCTCACCTGTGAAGACGAGAAACTAAAGTATTATCAGTATATTCAATTCAAGTTTATTTATTTAGCACATTTAAAACGACTTCAGCTGACCAAAGTGTATTACGATATACGTGTCACGATATATCCCAAAACAAAGGACAATATATAATGATTTATCAATAATTGTGTATGATGGGGTATATCTTCACCAGAACAAAACTGGAAGAAAGGCAATTAATATTTAAAATTATGAGAACAGTAAACAGAACTTGTGACTTTAAACTATTGAGACACTTTGAAATGATAAAAAAAAATTGTGCAATGGAGTATCGAGATTTATCACTGAATTGTTTTTTTTTTTACCACCACAAACTAAAAGTCCACAGAAACAGAAGAAACAGACATACAGATAAGATAACACATGCGAAAACTACAATAAAACACCAAGATATCTTGTCTAGTTAGTATAGTTTGACCAGACGTCCCTGTTTACCCGGGATAGTCCCAGTTTTGAGCCCTGTGTCCCCTGTCCCAGCAGATTTATACAAAACCAGTGATTTGTCTTAATTTTACAGAAGAACTGTCCCAGGTGTCCCTATTTTTGACCAATCCGATCCTGCCATCAGTAAACAGAGGCATAAATTGTCATTTGTTTTGGTAAAATACAGAAAAGCTGCTTAAAAACAACCAAAACACAAAGAAAGTGTCACTATACTGACTCACATTAGTGCCGAGTGCAGAACAATTTTCCTTAATTATGCACTTATTTCACAGTTTCATTATTACCAACCACCACAAACCAGGAATGTCCTAGTTTTTTTTTTATTTTCTGAAAATCTGATCACCCTTTGAGAAAGGAAAGCAGAGTACAGTAAATGTCTGTAGAGCGGTGGTAGAGACGACCGATCACAGACCTTATCGTCTGCGTCGCTTCCCCTGCTGTCTGCTTCGTTTCGACGCATAGTTAGAAAATTTCGGAGGTGCATGTCGGTGACGGAGACGATATGACGCTGAACCGTAAATTGTCTTTAAGCTTGTATGAAACCCCAGGAAGAAGAGGTGAGTTTTAAGTTTAGTCTTTAACTACATTACAAACTGCATTCATTTCAGGATAACAAAATTTACAATAATAATGCTCATATTAACAAAAGAGATAAATATATTGTTTCTGAATTAAATTGTCAGATGTTCCTCAAGACGTAGAGAAGACAAGAACTGAACCCCCTGGAAGGCAAACTCGAGTTACACAAATGTATGACATCACTCGGCTTTTGTAAGAAATAAATATTCATATGAGATTGTAGTTTTAATGATAAACCAATCACTATTTGAAATGTGGTAATGGTAGTTTTAGGTTTCTGATAGAAGTTTTCTCTTTTTTCTCTACTAGGAGTGTGCAAAAATACTGAAATATCGATATATCGTATCGTTTAATGTGATGATACCGTATCGATATCGTGGGCTGCTGTATCAATATAGTATTTTTTGGTGTATTTTACTAAATTATTTTATTACAGCTACAGTTTTGTTGCTTGACATTTTCACAGTTTTAATAATTAAAATGTTTGTGTTTCTTTTTAACTTTGCACAAGAAGTGGTTTAACAAAGACTTTTTTGAACCGTATTGAATCGAACTGAAATATATATCGTATCGAACCGAAAGTGCACTGTATCGAGTTATGTATCGTATCGGCAACTTCTTAACGATACCCAGTTCTAATTTCTACGCGATATTCTGTGGTTATGAAATTGCTGAGTCATGCCGTTTTGTTTTGTTCACCAAATGTCTCAAAATTTATACAAATAAATAAATAAAATAAATAAGAACACTAAAATAAACTAAACTGTACCTACTGATTTATATTTTACGTAACTTTAAAATAATAATAATAATAAAAAATCCACGTCATTTTGTTTAATTAATGAGGATAAGTACTTAATAAAAAGAAAACATAATGTGATATTTAACAGTTTCCTAAACCATTTTTGTTATTTTAATCTCAATACAATAGCACTAAAAATGCTACGAGCTAAAAAAAAAACAAAAACGAAAGTAAAGTTTGGATATTTCGGTATTTAACATATTACAACGAAAATAAATTAAATCAAACCTTAAATATACGTAAAATCTAAGTTAATAGTGACCTTATAAACTGTAAACATGACATGTGCTAACACGATGTAACTGCGTACGGATTTGGCGTGCAAAAAATCCGGCTATTAAACCGGATAATTTACCAGGATCGCCACCAAATTGAGATTACGTTAAATATTCTCTGCATGACACTTCAAAAATACAAAAATACGCGATATTATACGTTAAAAATGTCAAATAAACTCACTCACCAGCAGAGAAGCGTTTATCGTTCACCTTTCAGATCCGAGTGCGCAGTTTTCTGACGCAACTGTTCCTGTTCTGTAACCTTCGTGAAAATTCGCCGTGCCTACGTCATCGAGCGGCGACAGGTCGGAGGGGATTTGTAGTTTTTTTTTTTGTTTTGGTGAGACGCGCTTACAAAACGAACTACAGGCGCGTTTATGAGCTGTAAAACCTCTTGGCGCCTGAAAACGAACTTATGTCACTGTTAGGTAATAAAAATTAAATAAAAAAACAACGTAAAGTAAAATAATATAAAACAAAATAAAGTAAAAACTAGTTTGTTAAAAATGACCACAAAGCTAGTTTAAAATAAATAAATAAAAATAAAACAAAAATAAAATAAAACAAAATAAAGTAAAATAAAATAGGCTACTTTAAAATAAATAAATAAATATACAAATAAATAAATAAATATACATACAAATAAATAAATAAATAGGAAATAAAAAGAAAACTGAAAAAAAATAAATAAAATAAAGTAAAATAAAATTAAATAGTCAATTAAAATCAGCACAACAAGGTTACTTTATAATAAATAAATAAATAAATAAAAATAAAACAAAATGAAGTAAAATAAAATAAAATAGTCTATTAAAATTACCACAACAATGCTACTTTGTTTACTTATTCAACATGGATACGTGTGCGTTAGTTAGTTAGTTAGTTAATTAGTTAAAGTCACTTGTAAACCTATATACAGAGTTGTAGGTCTAAGTTTAAAAAGCTAACTCTTTTACTGTATTTTTACGTAATTACTTCTACTTTCTTATTTCTTTTCAATAATATCAATAAATTCAATTCACACTAATCAGCCAGTATGTAAATGTTTAAAAACTATAGTGATTATGTGGTGGCACAACTCCCTATTGTCCAGTGGATGGCGCCATAGTGTCTTACGTAGGCTACAAGTGGACTGACCAAACTTTATCCTCGTGGCTCTTTCCCACAGCGTATCTATAAAACCCCAAAACCTTCATAAAAACGTAAACTTCTCAAAATATCAGCCTATATCTTACATTTCATAACTTATTGTTTTATACTTCTAATTCCATGTAGCGACTGTCAGACCTCCTGGGGTTTTTTAATTCCCACTTTGGCACCACGCCCCCTCCGCGCTCCTTTTAGGCACTCAAACTTTCCCGAGTGCCTCTGCGTGATTGCCCCCGATGCCAGTTCAGTCCACGGAGCGCGACACCGAAGCTGGACACGGACTTAACTCTCTCCTCCATCCGCTTTCTCTGCGCTGTCTCTGCGTTGTTACCTGTTTTTTATTCGCCTGAAGCCAACATGGGGACTTATCGCGGAGATACGGCGCGTTTGGAGAGGTTTGGAGTGCGTCTGGGTAACTTTATGGATCAAATGGAGACTTTACGCAGCGCCAAAGAACGATCAGAATGGTGAGTTACGCGCGCCGAGGCTAAATATGAACTTGTGTTTTCCAGAAATTAACTTTTAGTAAACTTTTAAAAAATACTGTTTTGATCAAATTAATGCAAAAACGAAATGTGAAATTTAACCTAAAACTCTTTTTTTCCGTTTTCATTTAGTCTACGCTTAAGAATTTTTGACTGTTCTAAAGATTTTCAAAGTTTTTTAGTCTTATATCAGTTTTATGTCAAGTTTATTTATTATTTTATTCTCCAAAACTAACTCCTGACTCACTACAATCTTTAAAAATGTTAAAAACTTACCAGTTCCAGATTGCATAACTCTCCAATAATGTTATTTTTTGTGTATTTTGCTGTAGTCTAGTCTCTTTTTCTTGCCTTTGTGACGCATCTTTAAGTTTCTTTTGAAAAACTTTAAACTTATGTATTATTATTTTATCAAATTTACATTGAAATGAAGTGTATAAAGGTTTATTTTGACTTGTAAATAATAACAAAAACTCTAAACTAGTCACAGAAAGTCTTGATTTGACTAAAAGCATGTTAAAACTTCTCCTGAATACGACTAATTTTCTGTCATTATTTTAACAACCCAACACCTACGGACATGAGACTAACCAGTGGAGATTTCTTGGTTGGTTTTGACTGAACGAAATCAACCAAATCAAGTTAGGAACGGTCTAAAATGAACTGCGTTGCCATGGTTTCCAGTCGTTCATTGGACGGGCATGACTCGAATTTGGTGCAGACTCTGTCCCCTGATGCAGAGATACGAGAACAAAAACTGTCCTCACTTACCCCGTTTATAGAGACTTTATTTAATTTTAGATCACATTTTAAGTTCTTTTTTTTTTTTTTTTAGCTGGGGGCACTGATTTGTCTGAAGCTGTGTTACTCAAGTTTGACTTTAATTCATGGTGCGTTGTGTAACTTTTCTGGTGGAAGCTCCATCATCTGCTTGTCTCCATGGAGATATTACAGTTTTTTGCCTGGATTATTCCACAATATGAACATAAATAAACTTGGTAATCACATTGGAGACAGGATTAATGCTCAGATCTACGGAGAAGCGAGCCTGCATACTTTAAGCAGAGGCAGCGCTACCATTAGGCAAAAGTAGGAGCTCGCCTGGGGCCCCTGAACCTGGAGGGGCCCCCAACCGATTGTCCTCAGTGCCACTAATGGCCGAGACTAGAGGTCTGCGCGGGACAGAATTTTGAGTCCCGCTCCCGCAAAGAATTGTAATTTTCAGTCCCGCTCCCGCCCGCATCTGCAATATTTTGTCCCGCGCCCGCAAGTCCCGCAGGATGGGAACCTTTGCTTTATTAAACTCTATCAAACACGGAGAAGCGAAAGAAACTGGGCTGCGTATGAGAAGAGGCGCGGTGAGCGATCCAGCGGCATGGTTAAGTCCTGGCTAAATCCTGTTTTAGTCCTGGTTTTAGAGCAGTTTTTAGACCTGGTTTAGTTCTGGTTTTGTTGCGCAGCCAGCACGACGCATGGAAGGGGGGACTGTTCGCGCGGCGTAAGGGACGCGGGGGGACTGTTCGCACGGCGTAAGGGACGCGGGGGACTGTTCGCGGCGTAAGACGGGGGACTGCGCGCGGCGTAAGGGTCGCGGGGGGACTGTTCGCACGGCGTAAGGGACGCGGGGGACTGTTCGCGCGGCGTAAGGGACGCGGAGGGGACTGTTCACGTGGGCGTACTGGAAGGAAGGACTGTTCGCGCGGTGTAAGGGAAGCGAGGGGGACTGTTCACGCGGCGTACTTGGAAGGGACTGTCCGCGTGGCGTAAGGGAAGCGGGGGGACTGTTCGCACGCCGTACGGGACGGGTGGGTCAGTCTGCGCAGTGTGCGGGAAGGGGGACAGTCTGCTGCTTAAAATGTTTATATTAATGCCAAATAAAATCTCCAGCACAAATTATGCATGATATTCTTACATTCATCTTTTTTATATTTTACTTTATACTCATATTTAATTTGACTGCAGTTTATCGTCCCTCCCACCCGCTCCCGCGTTGTTTAGCCCCACTCCCGGCCGCGCCCGCAGCGAGCTTTCAAAATGTGTCCCGCGTCGCAGTGGTTTGTGCGGAACTGCAGGGCTCTAGACAAGACCTCAGAGCTATTTGATTTTCTCTCAATACGACAATAAATGAGAGTAGTTTTTAATCATAATACTTACTTATAATAATCTTATAATACTTACTAAACAATAAAACACCATGAAAATAGTATATGATTGTCAAATTTTAATTGTCAAAACATTCACCCTTTTCACGTTAGAACGAACTCATCAGCTTGACCCTGATTCTAACATAATCATAGCAGAACTCAGACCCAGTAACAAAAAACCAAGATGTTAAATGAAATAAATTAAATAATGTTTAATTAACAGGGTTTTAACAGGTAAATTAACAAAACAGACTAAAATAAATACAGAAAATAACCTAAACTAAGAAACAATACAACAGACAATGAGTTTTGTGCCACAAAAAGGGGTCATGCAGGCCAGTTTATTGAAGGTGGGATTGGGTATTATGATCCCGGACGAGCCCCCGATTTGTTACGACGCAGCTCGATTGGGGTGAGGGAAGTAAAAATAAACCAAGGTGGAAAGTAACAAAACAGACTAATATACAGAAAATAATGTAAACTAAGAAACAAAACAACAGACAATGAGATTTGTGCCACGAAAGGGGTGACGCAGGTTTACACAAAACGAGTGGTAAAACTAAGAGACGCACACGAACTCAAACACAAGTTCCCAGAATGAAACACATAAACCCACAAACAGAACTGAGTCAGTGATTTATCAAATTAAAAAAGGCACAAAACAGAACAACAGATACAAGATACTTTTGACACCTGTAAACAGAGATATGTTTAATGCCCTACTCAGTGTTGGGGAGTAACAGATTACATGTACTGGAGTTATGTAATCAGAGTACAAATGATGAGTAACTGTATTCAGTTACAGTTACTGTTTCAGTGAGTGGTAATTGGATTACAGTTATTTTGTTGAAATAAATGGATTACACAGAGGGATTTTCCTGTTTTCATATTTTGGGTTAAACTAGGACTTAATCAGGATTAAACCAGGTCTAAAACCAGGACTAAAATCAGGACTAAAGTCAGGACTAAAACGAGGACTAAAACCACAACTAAAACCAGAACTAAACCAGGACTAAACCAGAACTAAACCAAGACAAAAAAACAGGACTAAACCAGGACTAAAATCAGGACTAAATCAGGACTAAAACCAGATCTTAAACCAGAACTAAACCAGGATTAAACCAAGACAAAAAAACAGGACTAAACCAGGACTAAAACCAGAACTAAACCAGGACTAAAACCAGAAACTAAACCAGAACTAATCCAGGACTAAACCAGGACTAAAACCACAACTAAAACCAGAACTAAACCAGGACTAAACCAAGACAAAAAAACAGGACTAAACCAGGACTAAAACCAGAACTAAATCAGGACTAAAACCAGAACTAAACCCAGAACTAAACCAGGACTAAACCAGGACTAAAACCACAACTAAACCAGGATTAAACCAAGACAAAAAAACAGGACTAAACCAGGACTAAAACCAGAACTAAAACCAGGACTAAAACCACAACTAAAACCAGAACTAAACCAGGACTAAAACCAGAACTAAACCAGGACTAAACCAGGACTTAAAACCAGGACTAAAACCAGGACTAAAATCAGGACTAAAACCAGGACAATATCAAGTAATCCAAAGTATTCAGATTACGTTACTCACTTTAAGTAATTTAATGGATTACGTTACAAACTACATTTTGGGATGTGTAATCTGTAATCTGTAGGGGATTACATTTTTAAAGTAACCTTCCCAACACTGGCCCTACTGTGGGATATTCCAGGTAAAGAAATAGCATCTCCATGGAGACGAGCACATAGTGGACCCTTTACCTCAGAAGTTACATAGTGCATCTTTAATTTAGACGTGACTGACTTTGCTGAAACTACAGCAGGTGAGCTGATTTGTGTCACTCTTACATTTTTGTTGAAAATCAAACTCCTAAACAGGACCACGATCGCTCGGACTGATCACAGGCTCCTGAAAATGTGCTCTTTAAATCCATTTTGTGTTTTATCTTGACTTTTCAGACTATGTAAAAACTTTATTTTGTTGTGTTTTGTTTCATTCACACAAACCCTGCGCATTTACACTGAGTTCTTCTTCTCTCGGACAGAAAACACTATTATATCTTGTGATTAGGGATGTAACAATAACCAAAATATCGTGATATCGTATCGTTAAAGTACAATATATATCGGATTACAAGTCTCTTTGTTTAAATTAACAGTTATAGTTCAGCAATAGCAAAAAAAAAGACAGAGGGAACTACATAGACCATGATCCTTTGCTCTATTTCAGTGCAGTTCTAACACTTTTAAGTCTTAGTTCTATGGATTAAATCTTGTCAAGGTGTTTTAAAGGTTGTATAGAGGATTTTTTTAAGGGAAGAGAAATACAGCGACAGTCCTTGTGCGCGTTCAGAATTACTGTTGAAGTTTCCTGTCTAGAAGTAATTCAGCGACCGACGCGTCAGTTTTTAGACCCTTCGTCTGCTTCGGTCGCGCCATCGCTGGATGAGACCTCCAAGAATCACCTCAGTTTGGCTTTGCTACTTTTCCACTTCTCTTCTTCTTTCAGCGACCTCAAAAACGGACTTTCTTTTGCGGCGAACCGGTCGTGGATTCTCGTCCGCCGTCGCGACAAACTTTGTGCGAAATGCGAGGAAGCGACAGTTCGAAAATGCCTCTAAGAACCGCTGCATAAACCACGTAATCCCCGCGCTCCGACGAGTCAGTTATACTAGGGAGTTTGATTGACAATCTAACAGCCAATAGAAAATGAGGGAGCCTCGTTTTCTATTGGCTGATGTTTATCTGGCCTCACTACGTCCACAGTTGATAGATTTTCGTTCTTTTTTTTTTTTTGGTCATCATAATTACAAAGCTGCTGCGTCTCTG